GCAGTGGTTAGACCAGCTGAGGGCAAACTACGGCCCACGGGCCGGATCCGGCCCGTTTGAAATGAATAAAACTAAAAAAAAAAAAAGGCCATACCCTTTTATGTAATGATGTTTACTTTGAATTTATATTAGTTCACACAAACACTCCATCCATGCTTTTGTTCCGGCCCTCCGGTCCGGTTTAAGAACCCATTGTGGCCCTAAAGTCAAAAAGTTTGCCCACCCCTGGTCTAGATTCTAATAAAGTAAAGGAAGAAACCTACTAAAATTTATTTCATTTTATTTTATAATTGAATTATCTCAGATTTAGGCCTCAGCTAAGTAATTGGACTTAATACATACTAGTATATTCCTAACATTGGTTTAATAAGTGTGTGGCATCCATGAACAAGTGCCTATGTTTCTAACTTTATTATTTTTCCTTTCAACCCACTGTGTTAATGTGTTCTAAACTAATTATTGTCTCCTCTCTCAGTTGATGCTTTGCTGTTGAGTGTTATTGAAACTATAATAGCTTAGTTTAAAGCATTAGTCCCAGTACATACAATCTTTTTAAAAACCCTATTGTCCCTATAAATCTCACATTAGAACATGTTTGTTTGTTTAATTCAGTTTTTGTTTTTGTGTTTGAGGAGTACAGAGTTTCTACCTATCCCTTCATTTGAGCAGGAAGAGAGAAGACCCTGAAAGCAAACTTCAAGTTGTGCTTTGTTGGAAGCCTTTATATAAGGCATATAATACAGGAAAGCAGGATGAAACATGCTGCTATAGGTTTTGAATTTTCTCCTTTAGGTCATAGGGGGATGACCTTTTATTAGATAGAGTAGTCTTCCGAGAAGCCAAACTAAGTGGCACATAATCTTTTGTGAGTTCCTATGCAGAGAAGCCATAAATATTCATCTAGATAGGGCTTCTAAACTTTTTATTGCCTTCAACTTTTTACTGCACATTAGATTGCAGACATCTTAGAGCATAAGGCCTGTCACAGCTGAACAGATAAATGGTGCAGCCATAGTGGAGCACTGTGTTTGACGGAGAAATCTATCTGGTGTTCCAGAAGGTGAAGAAGGTCACAGAGTACCACCGACACATAATTGTGCAATGCTACCCTTGGATGATCAATATTTTTGCAAAGCTTAAGTTGCTCTCCTAGGAGTAAGATACGTTGGAAATTTTTCTCTTCTTTCAGGCCACTAAAAAGGCATTTAAAAATTTAGTTTCATTACACTACATAAAATCATTCTGCTATTTTAATAAATAGTAACAATCATTTTGGGGGAGCTTAATTTACTTTTTTAAAATTATCCATGTGCTCATTTACTAACTTTGTATATTGTGATTTTCCCCACAAAGGCATCAAGATCTATAATAATAAAAGCATAATATGCTAATTAGACCAGACGTCCTTCTGGACAACCTTCTGGTTGAAGCCAGGACTGCGAGGGAAACCCAGGTCCCGGCGCCTGCAGATGGCCAGAGGGAAACCCGGATGACAGCAGCCGGGGTAAGGAAGGGCTACTCTTGCACGAATTTTGTACATTGGGCCTCTAGCAAATAAACAAACAAACAAACAAACAAACTCACTTGGTAATTGATCAACTGGATTTACATGTTAGTCCAGGGAAGTAAGTTCCAAGTTACTATGCTACACCTGATCTCAATTCTAGTTGTGAGAGAATTTGACCATGGCACACAAAATTCACAAGGACAAAGAATGCAGCGTACTCATTCTTGATGCCTTCCAGGCATGGCATTAGAATTCATCCTTAATCAACCATGTAGCAAGCCAATATTTTCCTGCTGGGTGAATGCCTCTTCTGGCATAGCCTTATGTTTCAAGTTCAATGAGAAACAACCAATGGTGTTTAATTCCAGGTTGACCATCTGCCAATGGGTTTTTGTTCATTTGATGTCAGTTTAATGAGAATGACTGAAACCAAGATGATCATATCTCAATGGTTGCAACATGCATTTTTGTTTTGCTTGTTAGTTCAGATTACAGAGTTGATCCAGTTGAAGCCAGTTCACAACACTATAAACTAGCCTGAACTAAATCAGAAACCCAGACGAATCAACATTAATGAGAGGTTAGTGATGCATTGAGATGTTCTGCACTATATTCTGTAACTCTATTTGCAGTCCTTTTGCGTTTAATTTCCTCATCTACAAACTAAGACTAACATGTATTTTAAAAACCTTTACCATCATAGAAACTGGCATAGAAACTTTGAGTTCTTTTCACGAAAGTATTTGCTATATTGTTTCTCTTGATTTTTCCCATTATGTTTGAAAAAAACTAAAAACGTTACATGCCATATTAAAGATAGAATTTAATTTTTAACATCAAAATGCAACAATTTCTTAAACAATAATTGACCTTTATTGTCATTTTTTTTACTTAACATTGTTTAGTGTAATAAATGAAGATGAAATAATTTTATTTCTTATTCCCTTTGATTGTTTTGGGGTTATATATACGGAAATAACCAGTGATCCACATATCCTATATAATAAAAGCCTAATATGCAAATCAACCAAACAGAGGAATGAACAGTCACTATGATGCACACTTACCACCAGGGGGCAGATGCTCAATGCAGGAACTGCTCCCTGGTGGTCAGTGTGCTCTCAAAGGCGGAGCGCCACTCAGCCAGAAGCTGGGCTCATGGCTGATGAGTGCAGTGGTGGTGGGAACCTCTCTGGCTCTGTGGCAGGCAGACATCCCTCTTGCAATCCAGTACCGCTGGCTCCTAATTGCTCACCTGCCTCTCTGCCTGATGGCCCCTAACCACTCTACCTGCCTTCCTGATCGCCCCCTAACTGGTCCCCTGCTGGTCTGGTTGCCTCCTAACTGTCCCCTCCCAGCCTGGTTGTCCCCTAACTGCCCCCTGCTGGCCTGGTCGCCCCGTAACTGGTTCCCTGCTGGCCTGGCCATCCCCTAACTGCCCCCTGCCAGCCTGGTCGCTTCCTATCTGCTCCCCTGCTGGCCTGATCACCCCTAACCACCTCTGCCTCCACCCCCACAACCATGGCTTTGTCCAGAAGGAATTGGATGTCCAGATGTCTGATCGACCTGGTCTAATTAGCAAATTACCCTTTTATTAGTATAGATTTCTCCCTTTCTTCCTTTCTCTCTTAGTTTCTCTCTCCATCCAACTGGTTCTATTTCTTTGGGGAATCATGAGTAACACACAGTTCAAGATTATCATTCTAGAAACATTTATATTGTACTCAACATATGCAGAGGATGGTTGCCATTGCTGTTCTTAGGGGGCATGATATGTGTAAAGAGAACAAATTTCAAAAGTGTCACATAGAATTCACAAGATGAGTTAACTGAGGAAGGTTAGAAAAAATTAATAAAGTGACTTTAATCCAGGTCAATCAATTCAGTTAATTCACTACTTTGATAAAATCAAGAAATTCCCTAGAAATCTCTTTTATTTTTACCTCCTTCCTTGCCTTCACCACCAAATCTAGACAACTGAGTTTATTAAGCTATTGAGGATAACTTGAGGCATATGGTGTGCATCACATATCTATGTAACCAACAACTATACATTTTTAGTGAAACTACAAATGTTGAGTTTCCCTAACATTTTCATAAAATGTTTTCTTCTGTGGCATATACTCACCGCTATTCTTTTACTAAACTATGTGCAGCAGTGACAGGATACTCTGCAAAATTTCATGATTTTCATTATTCATCTGTACATTAGAAATTAGCAATTCATAGTCTAAAAGGAATTATACCTAAACACGTATCTGAATTTCTCTTTCCAAGTTTGATTTTTAATTCCTGTGGTTTCATCAGCTTCTGTTCTTCCAAAAGACACGTATAAACAATGGGTGTAACAAGAAAAGGAACTCACATGTGCAAGTTGTTCCATTTTCATCTAAAAGCTGATTATCAGCACAAGCACATACTCGGCCTCCTGGGATGGCCAAGCACAGTGTACTACAGCCCCCGTTATTCACTCGGCACATATTGTCACCTGCAAGAGGAATGAAGGACAGGTGTCAGAGCACTCTGACTCCATCCAAAGTTAGCCGGTTATTTCTAGATGTAGGTAGACTTCAATATGTACACACATGCACACACACACACACACACACACACACACACACCACACATTACATATGCATTAATATATAATTAATTAATTGATGAATGCAGCCAGGATTTCTGCTGAATCCTTAATGAAATCCAGAAATGTTTGAACGTATATGTTGTGCTGATGCGAGGAACTTTCGTGTTGGTTGTAGGACAATGATCTGTGTGTAGTTGGGTACCGGAAGAGAGAGGGGGGAGGAGAGCAGACAGACCAGCATCTGTCTAGGATCGTTCCCCAGGTTAGGAAGTCTGAGTGTTTTGGAAAGTAGGTCACCAGCACTTGGAATGTGGCTTTGGATCTCAAGTGAACAGAAAGCAAGTGAGCTTGTGGGAAGGGGTGGGGTATTGCTCCCCTTGTGCAAGGAGTGCATTGGCATGTCAGTGCATTGAGGATATTTGTGAAGCCTTAAGAATGAGCAGCCTTGCTGGTACCAGGAGACTGCAACTCACAGGGTAACGTGTTGTCCCAGTGGACCTGAACAGCACAGGCACTGATGAGGCATGCACAGACATCAATAACAGGCACAGGGGAAACTTGTATGTCCATACTCATGAACATATGGGAGACACCCTGGGAGATTCAGATACAACTGAGGTAAAATTTTTGAAGAGGTTTGGAGGTTCTGTTTTATAAAGACGTAGGTGAAAATAAATAAAATTTAGGTAGTCATCATTTTGATGTTATTATTCCTACAAGTTAGAAAGGCCAGGACGAAAGTACATTTTCTTATCATATATGTGTAGAATAGTTAGAAAGAACTCTGCAATGCAATCCAGTTGGCAGTGTAAATGTCAGGGTCTTTTCCATGGGGGCATTTTCCCAAGTATCAATAAAGAACATTTTGAAAATATTAGTCCACCTTATTCAAACATTAAAAAGAAAGAGCCTTTAATTACCCAGAGAAATACAATAAAATGAAATAATAATTAAAACTGCATTGGCAATTAAAGCGTAAGTGCCAACAGTGTGACTGAAATGACAGACTAGGTCAGGGGTGGGCAACCTTTTTGTGAGTGCGTGCCAAAACCAGCAAAATCTCTGACTCAAAATTCTTCTGTGTGCCAACCCTAATTTTTTGAGAACATGTTACGCCAACTTGATATCTCTTAAGGTGTACGTATGTGAAGAACCTTGAAGAAACAATAAAATTCATTTCAGCGA